ATTTATTGTAGAGATGAGGTCTCGCCAAGTTGCCCAGGCGGGTCTCGAACCCGTGGGCTCAGGCAATCCACTTGCCTCAGCCTCCCAAAGGTGCAGGATTACAGGCTGAGCCACCGATTTCAGCTAGGTTGTAGCTTAAATTGAAAATTTAAAACAGGTAAACATTAGCAAGAGAAAACAGTTTCCTTTTGTTTTGTTTTGTTTTTGAGTTGGAGTCTCACTCTGTCACCCAGACTGGAGTGCAGTGGCCGCTCCCAGCCACCACAGCCTGGACCTGCTGGGCTCTGGCGATCCTTCCACCTCAGCCTTCCAAGTAGCTGGAACTACAGGAGCGCGCTACCATGTCCAGCTAATTTTTTTGATTTATTGTAGAGATGAGGTCTCGCCAAGTTGCCCAGGCGGGTCTCCAACCCGCGAGCTCAGGCAATCCACTCACCTCAGCCTCCCAAGGCACGGGATTACAGGCTGAGCCACCAAGCCTGGCTAAGTATTAAAATTTTTAAAAGCATAATGTTATAACACAAGATTACAGTAGTTATTGTAAAAGTCACTTATTTAGCCAAAATTATAGTCCAAAGACTTTGGGGGGAAAAAAACTCGCTTTTTTGTGACAAAGACAGAGAGGGAGGGTTAACTGAATTGTCTCTTCCTTTCCCCCTCTTTTGTTTAAAGGAGAAAATTCTTTTGGATAAAGCTATATGATTTCAACATGGATGGCCAGGACCAAAAGGCTGGCACATATGTTAAATTAAGAAATTAATTTGGGTTCCAGCACCCTGGGGGATTGTTGGGGTGATGGTGAGCCAGTGCCAAGCAGTTTAGTAGATTTGCAAGTCTCCATAAGTGGCCACCATTTGTGAGCCAAGTGTTCTCTCCTCTCTTCAGAAGAGAGTGCACCTGCTTCCCAATGGAAGCACGGTGGACAAGGTGGCCTACACAGTAGACAAGGTCCAGGAGGTTAAGGCCTTTTTGGGGCAACTGTGCTTTCAGTCCTCCACAGACTGTACCCATAAGCAATGGGCACCATCCTCTTAACAGGTTTGTTTTTACCAGGTGTCTGATGGGCATTTGGAGTTTTGTCACTAATGGTGACTGCCAATTGGGGTGCCTCTTTGGCCCTCTGGTTCTGCAGCCCTCCATGTTGGTACCCTGTTGCCTTTCTAGTGTTTTAGCTAGAAAAAAACTCAAGTTATTTTTAATAGGCTACACATAAGACATTTCTCCCCAAGGTGGGGGAGGGAAACCAAAGCCAAGAAACATGGCGACAGCCATGGCTCAAAGAGCACATGGCACACCAGACTTTAACAAGGCAATGGCCCCGGGGTACTTGTGGTTGAGACCTTTTAATCATTCCCCTAGACGGGGAAGACCATTAAAGTGATTGGGTGATGGTCTGCTTCCATGTCATCACAAAGAGACAGACAAACACAGATACTAATAATGTCAGGTGATAGCAGACAGATGGGTGGTTTAGTCACATAATTGCTGCCATGGTGGAACTTATCTGTGTCATATAGTTCACAGAGGGCTGATTAGGTTAACCCTGGGGGGGGGGCAGGGAATAATTCCTACACGAGACTTGTTAGACAGTTACAATTCACAAACTCAGACATTTACAACTCACAAATTCCTTGACCAAAGGTAAAATGGTCTTATTACTTTTATGACTTTGGTCAGCCAAAGGGTGATCTTTGATCTTTGGTCTTGACAAGAAACCTAAAAGTTTACTAGAGATTATTATGCTAAACCATGAATGGTTAGGCTATCCTGGTTTTATATCTAAAAGATATTTGCCAAGGGAGATGGGATAGGCTGCTTGTTCTTCCTACAACAAAATGTCTAAATACTTTCTAATGGTTACACTGAGACAAAAAGACTAAAAAATAAGCTAAGTTTCTTCTAGATTTTTATAGATACCTTTCAGAGAGGAGTTTATTCAGAGCCCTGGAGGACACCAGAGAGATACAGTCAAGAATTCACAAGTTTCATTACATGCCTTGAACAAGATCTTGTTTTAATTGTGTGCAAATGCTTTTGTGCTCTTTTATTTATTATTTGTTTTTGGAAACAGGGTCTCACTCTGTTGCCCAGACTGGAGTGCAGTGGCGCAATCATAACTCACTGCAGCCTCAACCTCCTGGGCTCAAGCGATCCTCTCACCAGGGCCTCCCAAGTAACTGGGACTACAGATGTGAGTGGCTAATTTTTGTTTTTGTTTGTTTGTTTTTGTTTCTGTTTTGTTTTGTTTTGTTTTTGAGTTGGAGTCTCACTCTGTGGCCCAGACTGGAGTGCAGTGGCCGCTCCTGGCCACCGCACCCTCGACCTGCTGGGCTCCGGAGATCCTTCCACCTCAGCCTCCCGAGGTGCAGGATTACAGACTGAGCCACCAAGCCCAGCTTGCTTGTTTTTGAGTTGGAGTCTCATTCTGTCGCCCAGGCTGGAGTGCGGTGGCATGCTCACAGCCACTGCAGCCTCGTCCTGCTGGGTTCTGGTGATCCTTCCACCTCAGCCTTCCAAGTAGCTGGAACTATAGGCACACATTAATTTTTTTAAAAATTTTTTTGTAATTTAAATTTTTTTTTGTTTTGTTTTGTTTTTTTTTTGAGTTGGAGTCTCACTCTGTCGCCCAGACTGGAGTGCAGTGGCCACTCCCAGCCACCGCAGCCTC